TGTGTGTAGTCACTCACAGTCATAATTACAACCATTTGATTGCCCCATGTTCCGGTCAAACTGAGATGTGTCTGATTCTATGTAACAAAACCCGTAAAGATACTCGCAGCAGAAGACAATCATTTTCATTTTCTAACTATCTGATTACCTCACAAGCATTTATTATTTTATTTTCCCTACTCCCCTGTGATACAGAAGCATTATCACCACTTTCCAAATAGTGAACTGAGACATACAGAAGTTAAGGGACTGATTTGCCGAAAGTCATCAAGGAAATCTGTGGCAGAACAGATAACTGAATGTGTATCTTTTAATTTCAAATCCAGTACTTTAACCACATGACTAAATTTCTTTCTCTAATTTCTATGTACCGATCTGAGACCCTTCTGGGGATTTTCAAGGTTGAAAGTCTCTATAATAATATGCTTTCACCTTTGCCAATATTTTGCAATTTTATTTCAAAATGTGCAAGATAAAACATCCAAAAGCCAAGACAACATACTTTTCCTTCAACATTCATGTGTCAAAACCTTGAACTCTATCTAAAAAAACACTGTGTGCATCAGCTACTCTGTGAACTGACACAAAGAAGGCACAGCCATTTACTACTGCTTCTTTGTCTGTGGTACAAATATTCAGGCCTGAGTATTTTAATTGTCTTATAAAAATGATTTACAGGAAATAACAGTATAGGCAAAGGTGACAATACCATACCTTATCCCATATTAAGTGAAATGTAAGGGGGTGTAGTATCTTAAGTGTATTGTATTTTTTTCATCAATCAAGAGGGGCATCTTATAAAATACAAGGTGCTTTTCAATGAATTGTAAACATTATACATTTATTGTAATTTCCTGTCAAGCTCAGCATTATAGTAATGACAAGACTTATGATCATTTCTATTTGTTCAGTACTTGCAATAACTAAAGACCATGTAGGAACAGTGTATCAAGCTGCTGTGATCTAACAACAAGTTTGCTTGTTAATAAACCATTTTAATACAACCTTTCATTTTGTTCATCTTCTAATTTAGTAGTTCAAGAATCAACAATGTTTTCTGGTGGAGTCCAGAATGACCGAGCTTTGGTTCAAAGAAGGTGGGTCCTAGGACCTGGCTGCAGCTTCTCCCTACCACCCAGCTGCAGTGCAGCATGGCAGAAATCCCTCTCCACTGGGTGCCTGACTGTGACCCAGAGCAGGGAAAACCTCCCAGTGCCAAAGCCCCAGGCTCTGAGTGCAGTGCAGTATGTTGCAGTGCAGAAGAGCTTCCCACTGCCAAATGCCACATGTCTGTGGGCTGAATCCAAAGGCTGCACAGGCCGGAGGCTGCAGACCCGTATGGTAGTTTATTGCTACTCACTGTGAAAAAAAATCTGTAAATGGCTGGATACTTCAAATTATAGTGTCCTTGTAAATCAAAATGATATTGTGTATTAATTATATAGCATCAGTGAAATACTGAGTGATTCACAAACATGTAAAAAGAAAATGATCTTGGGCCAGAGAGAATTAATATTTATCATTCTGAACCACTACCTAGGGCAGAGGTCGGTAACACCCAGCACGTGCCAGAGCATGGCATGTAAAGTCATTTCACTTGGCACACATGCCTTGGGGTGGACGGTGGGGAAGGGGCCATGGTTGTGTCGCCACAACAAGGATCAGGACCCTCACAGCTCCCTTCCATCTGCCTGGAGGCATATGTGCACCTGCCACTGGCAACAAGCTGGGCAGGGGCTCTGCGGACCCTGGTGCAGCCACTTGCAGCCTCCCAGCTGCCTGCCACAGCCAGTCTTGGCTCTGGGTAGGCTCCTTCCACCTGCCACAGAGCCAAGGCTGCTCACACCAGATGGCAGGAAGGCTGTAAGCAGCTGCATCAGGGTCTACAGATCCCCAGCCCGGGGCCTTGCCAGAGGCAGATGCATGCACGACTCAGGGTGGATGGCAGGGAAGGGCCCGGGCTGCACTGCCACAACCAGGACTGGGCCCCTTGCAGCTCCCCCACCAGCCCCCCCTGGCATGCCAACATCTTCCAAGCTTATGACTCTCTGAAACTGTCAGTCTCTAAGGGGCCACCCTGCCCTGCCTTCTGCCTATCTTCAGACTAACATCGTCCACTGCCATTCTCTGTTTCCAGTACTGCTAGTCTCTGTGGGTACCTATACATGAGCAGGAAGGCTGCTCTGATATGCTGTAATTATTAGCACTTCAGAGCAGACTCAATTAATCGAGTCAGCTGGAGCCTGATAATTACCATGCTTCAGCAGCCTCCAGAGTCTTGTGCATCATCATCCCCACATTTCAAAATGGTGGTGGGGGTGCTTTATCTCAAGCTCACTTGACTAGATTTAGATAAAGCACCCCCACCACATTTTGAAGCACAGGGACACTGATACATGAGACACTCTGCGAGCTTTAATTAAAGCAGCTCTCGGAGCTACTTTAATTAAATCACCTCCACTCCCACTCCTGGAGTACGTGTATAAATGCCCTGCTATGACATGAGCATTCACAACTGATCAGTTTTTTTAAATATGTTTTAGTCATATGTCTAGAATGCACAGTTGTGTTGGCTGACCCACTCTGGCCATACCTCTACCTGCTTTGTGACCTGGGGACACAATGTTTCTGCAGAGTCTGCATCCCTCCTATCTTCTCAGTTCATATGTCAGAGGCACCTTCTTACATTCTTTTTCTTCCATGGAAAAAAGCTCCTTCCATGGAAAAAAAAAAAGAGCGTAAGTGCCTCCAACATGAACTGAGAAGACAGGGGAATGCAGGTTCTGCAGAAACATTGTGTCCCCAGGTCACAGACAGTGTAGAGCTATGGCTAGAGTCAGTGGTGATGCATAGGGTGTGCACAGGGGTGCACATGCACCCCCTGAGAGCACTGGTGCCCCCCCTGAGGGCACCGGCTGGAGAGTGGGGCTCACGTGGAAGTGCCAGTGGTGTGCCCGGAAGTGCCAGTGCCACACTATTGCCATTTGTGGGTTGGCCCCCCCCCCCCCCCCGATTCAAGAGGCATCAGTTGCCCGTGGCTAGAATGCCAACACAACTATGCCAACAGATTACAATGTTCCCTGAAGTGTAATCCCTCTTGGGAACACCTGGGAAACTAGGAGGGAAATTATAACTCTGAGCCACACTTCCATTCTATAACAGCTTCTGGGACAGAATAATGCAATGCCTATACTTTGGGACTGTGTCAAAGTCACAAATAAGCCATATAACTGAAGGGAAATTCAAACTTACAGAATCTTTTTTTTTTTTTTTTTTTTTAAAGATGAAGACTCTTAATGATTATGAACTCACAGAGGCATGTTTGCTTCTATGAATGAATGGTTACTATAGAAATACAGGGCCAAATACATTGCTGTTTGTAACTTCATTAACTTAATTAGAATTACATTAGCACAGTCTTACTTTTTCCACATCTGAAAATTCCTAATTTCAACAAAGAACACAGGGAGGAAATGCTACTAAGGAACTTATTGTACTATCAGGTCATTTAACAACTGGAAAGGCTTTCTTAGTTATGTATCTTTGAACCGCGATTCCTGTTTGAAAACTGCTGAATTAGATAATGTTACTAAAGAAGTACTTTTGTCATCATTGCATAGAATACTGTTTCCCAGATCAACAGAAAAGGAACAAAGACAAGGGTTCTTCCTGATCTTAAATGTAGCTTTTAAAAAGTAATCATTTACAGCAGGAGAACACTTATCTGCAAAGATGAAAGGCATTTCTGAAGGGGAAGAAGAAAACAGTTCATTTTAGTGTGCCAAAGGGACATATGAAACTGACAGGCTTACAGAGTGATGTAACAAGATGGAAACCTGCATGGAGCTTTTCAAAGCGATGCGAGTTGGCATTTCATGCTGCAAAACTGCTCATTGCTGCATCTTGTAAAATTGCCATATGGACTAATTAGTTTAATTTCTCCATTAAAGAACACAGAAAAGGGCTACAAAAGCAGATATAGCAGTATCACTGGGATTTTAAAGCAGGGAGAGAGAGAGTTGAAGAAGATACTTTACCAGAGAAATGATGCTTGGGGACTCTGTCTTCAATTTTCATAGCAGATAAATAATGGGTTTACAGTTTAAATTCAGCAATGCCCTTCTCTCCTTCACTCTATTAGACTGACAGCCGAATATAACAACTGCTCTTAGGGGTGAACTGCTGCTTTTTAAAATACCAGTTCTACATTGTAAGAAATAAGGGCAAAAAACTCATATAATCAGGGTCTGCAATATTAATCTTTTGCTGTAGTTCAAGCAAATGAGATTACGAGTGTAGAAGTAATCATTGATATTTGGCTGAAAATGTGGACACAAAACAAAGACGCAGGCTGACTCAAAGACTGACATTTCTATAATTGCTATGTTCAAAAGGTAGTTTTCAATATATAAGAAGTATGTATTATTACAACCAAACATTGCAAAGTATCTGACCAACAAAAATTAAAAATGTTGTGCTGAAGTCTAAAATATGCTATTTTTGGATATAGTTGGGAAAGTAGAACTATATATACACAAGAATGTATTTGGTAGCTGTGTTGGTGTGAAAAAAAAAAAGAACTGCAAAACTCTAGAACTCTTAGTTCAGAGATAATACCTTTTATTAAGAAATTGCAAAAAATGCAGAAATATGATAATTTTTTTGCAAATTCTTAGTTGGTCTAATAAAAGGTATCATCTCTGAACCAAGAGTTCTAGAGTCTGCATTACTATATAAACAAGGCATATAATGATTCTCAACTACAGATATACCAGGTACATAGGCATATATCCTAACAAATGTTTTGGAGAATAGCGCTGTCCAAGACTCAGCTAAAGCTCCAACAAGACAGATAACAAACTTTTCAGTCAAAATCTTTTGCTTTTAATGATTATCAGTGTAAGTTTAGAATGAAACCCCAATACATACTATTCCATTTCTAAGAAAACACATCTTTGTTTTTCACTTGAAACAAAGCTATGCTGAAACAAAACTGTTACCTTTTTTGCTCCTTGTTCTTCTTCTACACCATCGCCTATAACAACATACACTACTTTTCTTCCAAATCTTTGAATTATTCGCTCAAAACAACTTTCCTTTCCTGAAAAAGAAATTTAAACTATTCAGGCTTTTACATGGGGTAACTGGTGAAAGGATATAGTAAAACCATTTTTATTAAGCACCCATAAGATAGCCCCAGTATGTACAATGTAAACTTAGCCCAACTAAGTGGTAACAGGACTGAGTACCGAGGTGTACTCTGTTCAGAAGAGTGAGGAAAACTGATTTTATGGCCAGCAGCAGTCTTGATTTCAGCTACAGCTCCTGATCTGCTTCTGGGAAATCCTACATTAATGGACAGCAGTTAGAGAAGCAGCACAGAAGAGGTGCACAATGCTGCCCTTCTACATGTTGAAAGTAATTGACAAGCAAATTAACACTTTAGCTAAGTAAACTATTTAAGTTGCCACAAGAAAAAATGGGTACAAACTGACTGTGAATAAAATATAGGCTGAGAATTAGAAGAAGGTTTCTAACTATGAGATGTGACGTTCTAGATAGCCTTCCAATAGGATCTGTGGTACAAAAATCTCGTTTCAAGATTTCTCATTTCAAGATTGCTTCATAAGTTTAAGATGTGGAAAATGTGGGATTCTGTTAATGTAATTCCAGTGAATAAAATTACAACAGCAGTAGCTATTCATTCATAGAAGCAAACATGCCTCTAAGTTCATAGGTTTCAGGGCCACGTCCAGATGAATGTGGATGTTTGGTTCCCTGGGGACAACTAGTGGCGGTGAACCTTGTGGCAACACTAGTTGTCCTCAGGGAACAGCTGTGCCACATGTGCTCTGGCAGGTGGGGTAGGGGAGGCTGGGGCCAGCAACTATGCTGGTCCCAGAAGCCTTACCTTGGGTCCTTGGTGCCTCCCATGGTTGCAGCAGTGGCGATCCTGTTGCCTGAAGCCTGGCTGGCAGTGGCCCCCTGCCTGTGCCACTCCACTTTTTTTTGCATTTTTTTTGACCCCTGGATATCCAGGGGTCAAAAAAATCCCCTGTGCTGCTCCCTTCCAGCACAGAGAACAACTGAATGTGCAGTATGTGGTGCCACAGATGTCTGCCGTGCCACATACTGCAAGGCTGTGCTTGTCTGGACACAGCCTAGGACCCTCGCCTCATCTTAAAAAAAACAAAAACAACTTTTTTGGATTCTGTATGCTCGATTTTCCCTTCAGTTAAAAGTGCCTGTGGGCAGAAGATGTCTGCACCTGTCCCAGAAGTTCCCTTGCAATCCTATGTTCTCATGTTCTTAAGGGAATTTCTATTATTTAGAATGGACTTTTATTAGGGAGCTGCAGTTCAATATTACAAAAGGTATTAAATTATTATTTTCAATGCTCTACAAATTATACTAATTTGGTGTAAGTTTAATTTTTATGATATTGCCTTCAACATTGTACAATGAATTCTTAGTTGCAGAATGTGGATGCCCCCTTGTTGCATGATGTGCATAGGTGTCCTGCGTATTATCAGCTCCCCCACTGCACAGCCCCACATGGTCACCCCCGGCTGTAGGCTATCCTGGCACTGTGGGCAGCACTGCTCCACGCTGCCTGAGAGGGCAGAAAATTGAAGACCAAGGAAAGATAGGGAGCTTGGAGTCTCCAGCTGCTGCTTCAATTGGAGTGATGGGGAGGGAGATTTGGGGCTGCAAACTAACCTCTTGCAAACCACCAGTTGGACAGCCTGTTCTAAACCATTTATAGTCCTACTGTGAGTTGTTGAAAAGCTACTGTATCAGTGTTGGATGATAAGGCATTGTCTGTATACCATTTCTGAAAAGGGCCCACATAGCTTGCTGGATCCAGTCCTGACTTTGTAAATTGTTTTAAATTCCCTCAGTAAAAAAGCTTTTTAAATTACATCATTTTAAAAAAAATATTGATTTCTAGATGCTTCAGTAACTTGTACATTAGAAATAAACACAGATACATTTATCCACCAGATAACACAGCTTTTCAATTTCAGGCTGCAACTACAGGACCCTGCAAAAACAACTTACCTATTTTAGTTGCACTGTAAATATTTTCTATTGGAAATACAACCCCTAGTCCATACAGCAAGACTTTTGCCAGAGCTGGAATAAGCTGAGTAGTTGTTACTAGAATATTCACACAGTTTGTCCTGTAAAAAAAACAATGACAAACACCCTTGAAAATAGGGGCAAAATTAACAGGATTTCATTCTTTTCCTCAAAACTCCTCACCATTTTAATCTGAAAATTTACAAATGTAGATAAATTAACACAACAAAATGCAACAAAAACTTATGCTCATTTCCACTGTACAGATGGGGGCTAGGTAAAGCCTGAGGTGGAACTGATCCAAGTTACGCGGTTTTCTGCAAGTGGCGCAGCTTAGGTCAGTAGCAAACAGTTCCTCTTTGTAGGAGGGGCAAATCTTAGACTGGGTTCCATCATTTTAAAGCAGCCAATCTGTTCTGTTGTGGGTAAAGACCAGATCCCGATCACTTATCCTGTAGTGTAATGTCTGTACGTGGCTAGGAAAAACGAGGCACAGGGCTATGGTTTACAGACAGACAGCAGATCAGCTTCAGAACAGGTGAAAAGAACTCAGGTCTTCTAATCCACAGACCAAAGTTTTATCTGCTTGATCACGCAGGCCCTCCTAAACCTCAGCATACATTTTAATGTTTCATAAACACTCTACACTGCCACATTAGCTCTTAAGCACTTACCTAGAATGAATAAGTGTGAGTGCTTTCAGTGCAAGTGTTAACCAAGAATCTGTCAGAGCTTCAATTTCTGCTCTTAATTGCAACCAAGCTTCTCTCTTTGCAGGCCCAAGAAGACCTGTGAAATAGAAAAGGATACTCAGAGAGGCATCTGCATTGAAATTCAGATCACTGTTGTTATCTTCCTCGGCTTCCATTAGTTGTAAGAACAATCTTCTTTAGAGAGAATAAAATAAACAGTTAACTAAGTAAATGCCATCATGTTGGGGAGGATCAAAAAACAAAGGAACAACTATTCCTTTCTATACATCACTTCTCATTTGCTTTTGGTAACATTTAAGATGGGTACTTGCCTCCAACGTTATTTTTGTAGGTGTTGTAGATTTCTTTTACTCGTCTGTAGCGGAAGGCCAATTTTCTCATCCAGTCCACTCCTCCACGCACACCTGTTGCTAGGCATAAGTTAGCACTAGTAGCTGCTGCAGGAAAGCCGTCTGTTCCGAAGTTATATGTGCTATTTAGATTTAAGAAAACTCCAAAATTAACAAAACAGGACAGCCCAAATTCAACTGCCAGTTATACACGGAGCTAGTTTGCAACTATAAATTGTTAAAAAAATATTGGCCAAGCAAAGGCAGAACTTGGCCAATATGTTTTATAGCAATGTATATTTTTTCTAAAAAAATATAAGCCAAAAAATCAATATATTATTTCATGTCGGACATACCTTAAGTCCTGGCCATTGTCATCAGAAGACACATCGTCTATATGAACCTGGTCACATTCCTAAAGAAACAAAATTTATTTTTATCAGCATCCTCACAACTCAGCAAAATGATACAGAAGATTAGAAATATCTTTAAGATTTTTTCATTGGGGCAATTTTAATTGCGTAAATCAGTAGATGGCAGTCTTGTTAAATCAACAATTTTACCTAGGTTTTGTGCTTTTCTTCACAGAAGAAAAGATGCAGTGTCATTAACTACTACTGTTATATGACTTTCTAAAAACACATTTTTATGTTTAGAAAGGAAAGTGGTTAAAAACAATTAGCATGTGTGTTCCATAAATGTTCTTGTACCCTTTCAGGTACCTTAGAACATCATGCTGCTCAAAGCTGATTCAGTCAGTGCATAAGTATAACTGAAACCAGACATTTTGGTAAATGTAACTTATTAGAAAAATTAAACCTGATGCTAACCGCCAATGAAATTATGACCTCTGATTGCTGTTGAGCCACACACCAACACAGCCTGAGGCCAGTGTTTCAGAGGAGCTCAGACAAAAAATCTGTTCCTAGTTTGCCATTCATTTGAGAGTTGTGAGTTTCTTCTGCCCCTTTGGTCTTAGTGCATGAAAGCAGCATACAAAGATGAAGAAAATCTAAATGGAAATAGCTGAGGCAAACCACTTTTTTCAGTCACTTGTATGCAGCCTTTAACAAGACACATTTATAATTACCGTTATCAGTCAGTAAATTATAAAATAATGGTGCCCATTGTTCATCCTTTCAGGAGCATTACTCTTAATAATTTGATGTTTGGCAGGCAAAGAACTAGTGCTGCAGTTCCACCTGAATTCAGTGTGTAGAAACAATCATATATCTCAATCACTTTAATAGTTCCCTCCTAATGTGAAGTCCCATAACAAAGATGATACATTCTAAGTACTAAAATACTGGAATCATATATTTTTGTGTTATTGCTTCCCTCTGAACAAATTCTTCTCTCTCCATGGATTTGTGAGGAAGGGAGGGAAGATAGAAGTGGAAAGAAACTCAAACCAGCTGTTCCCTAACAGAATTAAAATCATGACCCTCAACCCCTGTTCTAAAACATCTATTTTCCAGCCAACCCTCTCCCAGCAAGCAGTGAGCTTCAAGGAGGAAAAGACTTTGACCCTGTAACCTTTTCCTCCTCTCCTGAGGTCAACAACCTCAGATAAGAAAAAAGGAAAAGAAAGTTTATCTGGCCTCACATGATGGCTGCAAATTCAAGTTTTTTTAAGTAGGTTGCTATATGAGCAATGGCTCAGAAACTTGCCAAAGTTACTTGAGAGAATAAGAGATGGTCCCTGCTCTCTAAGTGGTCTGTACATTTGTAAAGTATGGAATTCATAAATGGACACTGGGACTCAGGTTCTTGCTGCAGCTCTGTATTTGAATGATTAGTAGTTTATCGGAAAAGAAGAGAGAAATGAACTAGGATGTGAGAGGTATTTGCTATTTTGTTCCAATTTTTGCATCATCTTTGCATAGGATCAGATGGATAAAACACCAAAGCCAAAGCCACAACTATATATCTGATACTGGAAGTGCTTGATACAGTAGCAGATACAGATTGGAACTACTGCTTTTAATTTCATTAGAATTTAAGTTTTCACTTAAATCAAAAGTTTCCAACTCTTATGCAAGGATCATTATCAAAATATAAATGCTTTATCATTGTCCTAAGCCTGAATACTTTTATCTTTAGTGTCTCTCTTACTTAGAAATTTTTCCAAGCTCTTGCAGAGTGAAAAGAAAATATTCAATTTTCAGGGCAGCTATTCATAGTCTTGTCCACAGCAGTTAAAAGGATAACAATCTAATGAACTGCCTTTGTTATTAGCTTGGGAAAATGATGAACAATAACTATAAGTAGTCACTAGAGAAGAAAACTCACAACTAAGGAAACAGACATAACCGATGCAGCACCTACAAGGCTGAAGGAAGCAGCAGATGACCATGCCAACTTTTAAAAGGACAAGGAAAAAAGGTTGAGCTTTGGAAACCTCCCAATTTATCCGGGCAGGAGAATTCTTTGGAACTCTTAGGAATAATGAGAGAGAACTTCTGAGAAGCAGAGAAGGTCTAGAGACAGGGAACTTCAAATTAGGCAAGAGCTTATAAACCAATAATGCAAAGAGAAGCTAGGACTCCCTACAGAAGTAGGTGCATGCTTACCTGGGTGGACAGATGGAAAGACAGACAGGAGGACTAAATCAGAAGTAAAAGATTAAGTGGGGGGAGAGAAGGAAAATAAAATACAGATGAAGTGGAACATGAGAGGTTGGGAAAAAGAGTATAAAAATGTTGAAAATGAGTAAAATTATACTGTGGTCTTACAAGAAAGAGAGAGAGGGAAAAACAAGATGAGAAAGTAGAAGAGCAAGAGAAGAGTTATAATTTAGAAAGGTGTAAATAGAAATATGATTGTAATTGTTGTAATTATATACAGGTCACAAACAGTGCATAACTGTTTTATTGCTTTTATAGGGTGCGGTATAGTTTGAGTGCTAAATGTGACTTGAGATCTGAGTGGTGCAGGCATTTTCCCCTGCCTGGCTGATTAGTCTGTGGGTTTAGCAGGAATTGGTTAATTTTTTCAAACCTTGGACAAAGAATGCAGAATGCTCTGTAAGTCATTTGGCAATAAATCTTTTGTCTAAAGTTAATTATCTTCTGACTGTTAATTCATTTAGTCCGTCTATTGTTCTTGAACATCCTGTGTTTGTTTTCACCTGCTTGCTTTGTTTGAGGCCTTTTGTTCATGAGCAGAAGCACTGCTCAGTGCCTTGGTTAACCATAATAAGCATCAAGTGTCAAATCTTAACATTTTAAAACCTTCTGCTACTGAACTGGGCTCATAGAGATTTAATTAAATGAAGTTTGGTAGAGAAACTGAGAGCAAGAAAATTGCTTTTTATCAGTACATTTTGTAGAGTCTTGTTTTATGAAAATACAACGGCTCACAGAAAATCTTAAAGTACTTTTAGAAAGATTTCTCTGATTGGGTGCTGTCTCAGAAGAGTGAAATGTGGATTCAGAAAAGCACCTTTTTATTGTTTTAAGATAGTTGTGAAGCATCTCCTCTTTCCCTCCCCTATAATTATAACAGACCACTGGATCACACACACTCATGCATAAGATTTTCATACTTTGAATACTGTACATGAAAATAAATTATACTCAGGCATTGCTTCAACTATTTTTATTTTCACTTTAATGCTTTCAGCATAGGAAAAACTATATTTCTCAGAAAAATTGTAAGTCCCTTCAGAAAACTATTCATGCTGAACCTGGAATAAATAAACATTATGATCCATATATACATTTTATTATTTATTTTTAGACTCAAATAGCTGCCATTTTTGCATTAAAATATTGAAGTTACCACATTCTGTTGTAAACAGGCAGGATGGGTCAATAGGCTAAGGAGTAAAACCACCCTGTGAAGTATGCTGAAAGATTATGCACAAGGTTGTGTTTTACTCCTGAATGTGTTGACCTTGTGATTTCAGCGCATCCAGCTTGAAATCCTCAGGAGGGACTGCAAGCGATGACATGTTTGCATCCAAGTTGGGGATTTTCATCCTACAGAATGCGATACAACTGCACAATGAGAATAATTACTAGGAATAGGGAAGAGAAAACGTGCATTCAGCATAACCTTGGACCAAACTCTTCCAGACCACCATCAGACTTAGGTTATGCCTATTTCATAAATTGTCCCTGGCAGCATCATCAGTGTGGCTAGGTGGAGAGCTAATTATCATTGTCATTCAGCAGTGCTAATTAGTCTGCTCTAATCACATGGAGATGGCAGCACTGCTTTGTGTTTAGTAAGCATTTTTAGGATGCTACCAGTAGACACTGTCTAAGACCTTGAGCAGTCTGTTGCATTGACTCTGAAGTGCTTAAATCTCTTTGAAAAATGATGTTGTTGAAAATTTTGCTCTTGCCATACATGCATTGCATAGGAGCTAGGGAGACTGTTGGCCAAGTTCAGCACAAATCTAAGTATTCTAAGCATAGAGAATACTGCATAATTAAACTGTTAAACTGTTAAGCATACTTAACACTGCATAATTAAAGACATTACCTCTGACAACAGACAAATGTAATTAAGAGCTGTGTTTCATAGGTACAATCTAGTAATACCATTTTTCTGCTTAAAATTGTTAATCTTTGATGAATGGCTGCTGAAAAGCTTCATAGAGGAAGTGAGATGTAAGTAAAGATTGAGAAAAGGGGGTATTCATTTAGTGCAGAGGAAGAGGGAGTGAGTTTTCAGCACAAACAGCAGCATACAGGAAAGCATAAAACCAACAGCAGTAAAAAATAAGAGGAAAGGAGATGACTGTGACTAAGAGAAGTGTATTTTATAGTACACATAGCAGACAGAGTTGTGGAGAGCCGTATGGCCTTGTTACACATTGCACTTTGAGCTGCTAAAATGCTGATCCGTGTTAGGACTAGCTCAACTTTGCAGCAGGCTAAAAACCTTCTCTGACTGTCCCTCAACTGCACAGCTATGACTTGCCCCTAGAAGGCTGGGGAACAGGGGCCTGACTAGGAGCTACAGCTGTGAATTGTCACTATGGCTAAGGACAGAAGTTACACATAAACCAGTTTCAAAATGGCTGAAACTGGGTTACAATAAACCTGGTTGAATGTAGACTAAATCATTAGACTTAACTGATTTGGATCAAACCAGTTTTTGAAACTTCTGTCCCAGATCCATTCCTGATTCAAGTTAAATCACAGTCCCCCAGCATCCCAGCATGCTTTCCAGCCCTGAGCTGTGCTGTCTTCTCCAGAGAGCAGGGCTGGCCCTGCCCCTCTGTTCCCTAGCTGGACCAATGAGGGCTGGCTGACAAAGTTGGGGGGGGGGGAGGGGGCAAGCCTGGCTCGGGGTGCAGTCCAGTTTGCAGGAGGGGGACTGCCCCACACTGGGGGCCTGCAGCCTGGGAGGGGGTTAAACACCCATTCCCCCACTCAAATTTACTGCTGGCTGCAACTGTGG